AGAGCGGTTTGCCAAAGCCCAAAATATTAGGTTATAGTGAGATTACATGTAGTATGACACATAATCACTCCATTTTTTGTGCTTTTTTTTGGACGGCTAATGGGGTGTTCCATGAGTTTGTGAATTTTAATAGGATTCCAGTGGTATTTTTATTGGAGTTCCCTGTTTATGAAGATATTTATAACTAGTTTTTTAATCGTTCTAAAGTACAAGGTACATTTTTATTTTATATAATTAAATTTTATAATAAATATTAACTTTTGAATATATAAATTATATTATACTTAAAAAATTTAACAGATAAATATTTTATTATATATTATGTCAAAGATTCGACTCAAAAGGCAGTTGTGTGGATTTATATCATTGCAAAACAATAGAATATCATCTATAGATGAGAGCATTATTTAGGGATTCTTAATTATATTTGAGATTTTATTCCTTAAATAGTCAAATATACTAATTAATTGTCAAAGTTCTTGAAAAAAAAAATCCTCTACCATAGAGATTAGAACAAACTTGAGTTATTTAGAAGTTAAAAAAGATTGTTCAAACCCTTTGACTTTAAAAGTTTCAAGAGCGACAAAAAAATATTTACATTGATGCAAGTGAATATATCGTGGGAGTTGTTTTTATTGAAGAAATCAACATAAGAAATTTATTGTGGATATGTCAGTGGTCAATTTAAAGAAGTGGAAAAGCATTATCATATTATCTTCAAAGAGACTTTAGCTGTTAAAAATAGAATTAAAAAATTTAATTTTCATTTAAGAGGATATTAAGATTAAAAGATTCGTTGTCTAGGTATGACTTTTTTGTCAAATATATTAAATAAAATCATAATCTAATTCTTGATTTTCTCTCAAGGCTTTAAAGAATGATTTAATTAATCACTACTACTCATAGTTTCCCTTGGATATTCATGGTGAGGCCTCTATTGACCAAAGTTAAAGTAATTAAAGATTTTTCATTAAGATTAACACCTAGTTCACCTGCTATTATTTTACAGTATACTAAATCTCATTATTATTACTTCGTAGATGAAGCCATGAAGTACAAGCATACTCCTACTACAATATTTAATCCAGAAACTTCTTTCAAAAGAATCTTTGATTTATTTTGTGAACTGGGAAGAGATTTATGTGAAGCCACACTCTAGCTTATTTGGTGTAACACTATTTAATATTCTATTCCGATTGCTGTAAAGACCAAAATAATATATCAAATTCTCATAGATCCTTGCAGAGAATATTATTTCTTTTGGACTTTATTAGAATGATTTTATCCTTTATTTTAGTGGAAGAAAAAAATTTAAATAAGATCTTGGATCTTGAAGAAACTAGAAGAATTTCATATGAAAAATTTAATAATTTGACCTCAATTATTATAGTCTATTATCCTTGCTTTCAAAACCTTGTCAACACAATTATGGTTGAGAAATGAAGTCTGTTTTTGGGGAGACTTTGAAAATTATCCTCTAGATGAGACTTATAAACTTCAACTAGCTAGACATTTATGTGAAATTAACAATTATCAACCTTGATCACTAGATCTTAACAAGGCAAGTTCATCTCAAAGACCCAATGAATGTTATCTCAACATTGAGATAGTTCCTTCCAACTCTTCATAAGACAAGATTTTTTAAGTCCACATGAGAAATTTATGTTTTGTATGAAGAAATTTAAAAAGTTGAAGATTTGACAGTTGATTACAATACATAGTTGATGGAAGTAATAATGCATAAAACTAAATATCCTTACCATTATGAGAGTTTGACTTAGTCAGAAGTAAGATAATACACCTCTCCACTTTCAACTAGATTAGACTAAAGTGATAGTTGTGTCTTCATGGTATGCGAGAATCATAAGTATTAAAGATGTTATTATGGTGTGAAGATAAAGTTATGCAAAAGTTATTGTCATATCATCATTATCACTCTTTAGGAATAAGGTGTTATAGATGAGGTGTCATAAAAAAGTTAGGTGAATGTCTTTATTGCATCATGTAAAGATACGGTGTCGTACAAAAAAAGTTAGGTGAATGTCTTTATCATTACTATGTGGCAATAAAGTGCCATTATAGTTGGGTATGATGCTCTTATTACGTGTCATTATAGTTAGGTAAACTCACTATCATGTCATGTAATGGAGATTGTTGTTTGTAAATCTCATTCTCTACAAATAGAGGGTTGTATGAAAGCTCAAGGCAAGACTTGGTTGAATGAAATAAGTGTTTTCTTCATAAATGAGTTTCTTCTAAAACTTATCGTTTTCTTTGGAAATCTAAAGTATATCATTCATATTATTAGTTCCCTATATAGATGTAAGTATGCTCTATACTCGTCTCTCACGAGGATCTTGTATACCAGAAAACTTATTATTTATGATTCAATTTAACGATCCTCTTATTCTATGATAAATATGCATAAAATTAGGGATGGCAAAGTGGGCCATGGCCCGCGGGCCGGCCCATTGGCCCGCCAAAAATTGGCGGGCCAGGCCAACTATTTCAACCCGCCAACCCGTCAAGCCCGCCC